AAGGAGGAGAGAGGGAGAGGGAGAAGAGGAAGGGGAAAGGAAAGGGAAAGGGAAAGGGAAAGGAAAGGAAAAAGGAAAAAGGAAAAAGGAAAAAGGAAAAAGGAAAAAGGAAAAAGGAAAGGAAAGGAAAGGAAAGGAAAGGAAAGGAAAGGAAAGGAAAGGAAAGGAAAGGAAAGGAAAGGAAAGGAAGGGAAAGGAAAAGAAAGGTAAAAAGGAGATTCAAACACCATGATGGCTGGCTTTGAAGATGAAGGAAGAGGAGCGCAAGACAAGGTACATGAGCAGCTACAAAAGGCAAAGGAACAGAGTTTTCTCTTTCTTCTGACCTAGAGAGCTGTGAGACAATAAACTTGGATGTTATAAGGCTTTAGACTGTGGGTCATTTATTACAGTACTAAAAAAAATATATACTGACTGCAACCATTACTTGGCTCAGACTATCAAAAATCTATCAAATCCAACCACTGTCAAACTAACCTGTAAAGTATTGGTTATGGTGTTGACCTTTGCGGTGACATCTACTGTAGACCGACTTCCGATTCCCCTTTGAACTGACCTGGTTGTCCATCGACTCAATCCGTCACGATAGCGGAAGTGGTCTGAATCACTGGATGATTCTGCCATTGATGTGTACAAATCCTTCAAAGTAAGTCCAAGTCAGTGTCAAGTCAAAAACACAGACGTAGGAAACCCACTGCTAACCTGCTTGCATTTCTAAGTATTTGTTACAATAGTCTTTCAGCAAATGGACACACAAGAAAACACAGAAGATTACTTCCCATGTAATTCTGCTTCCCTGGCTTGCTCTGCTGAGAAAACTGCTCCCAGATGGTTACCATGGGTCATCAATCCCAAGTAACGCCCTAAGATCTGTGGTCTGCTGCCAGGATTAAAAGTGCTTTCATATACAATGTGTCACAACACTGTCAACAATTTGAACCGTGACAAAACAAAAACATTCTCTGAGGACCTACACTTTGGGAGCCTAGGGGGTGACTCAGTTTTGACTTCCAGCATCAATGTAAATGCTGGGTGTGGGGTAAGAGGGAATCCCTAGAGCAAGCTAGCTAGCTAACCTAGCCAAATCAGCAAGCTCTGGTTAAAGAAACCACACCTCAGTATGTAAGGCAGAGACCAATGGAGGAAGGCATGGGACCATGGCACATCAGCCTCTGACCTCTGTGTGCACAGGCACAGAAGTGCACACACATGTTCACATGAACTCACATACATGTGAACATGTAGACACTACATGCACATGAAAAAAAAGACCGCAGTCCTTAATATTAGTCCAATATCTATTCTAAGCTATAAGAATATACCTCTAAAATATGACAGATACCCTACAGGAACCATAATAAAATTCCAGCGTATGGCAGAGTGAGAACTTTCCTACAGCCCAAATTTAAAATTGCAGAATTAAACAACTGCTGTGATGCAGAAACCAATTTTACAATAATGCATTTATAAGAAGATGCTGGCCTCAACACATCCACCAAAATAGAATGCCTACCTACCAGAATCTATGTTCAGCAATGGGGAATTCTCTAAACAGTGCTTTTCTCCCATCATTACCTCAACTGTCTATTTGATTCATCTAAAAACTTATTTGTGCAAGATAATCTCATTTCAGAAAAATTATTAATAGAAGTTGAGGAAACCAACTACAGCTAGAACAAAACAACACCAGAGAAGACTACAGTGATCAAAGCAAAAGCTGATTGAGAATTAGTCCGAAAATTTCATCTTCTGTTTAATGGAGGATTAGCTAGTCTTTACTATAAACTGCTATAATATTTCTAAAATCGACATGGACATTTTTTTTCTGGCTTATAATGTACAGTATGATGAGATTTTTCTTTTATGACAGAATAGCCTGAATCTTCTGGATCTTTATTTTATTGCAGCTTATAAGTGCATAATCATGTTTCTAGAGAAGATAAAGGACTCTTGCTGTGAATTTAGATTTTTTTTTAAATTAAATTACAGTCTATCTTCAGTAAAAGAATCCATGAATATCCAAACACTTCCCGAAAACTGAGACCAAGAGCTGCTGCGTGCCCTGCAAACGCCATGCATCTCATGTACCCATCCTCCCTCCATCTCAGGTCTTTGCCTACTGGGTAGAAGCAAAAATGTACCGAGGATGGGCTCCCTCCACATCAGAACCATGAACAAGAAACTAAGGCTGAAGCAACTGTTGGGCTCTGCCTTTGCCAGGTCACAACTGTTTAAGTGCCCCTCCCCAACCCCTGCAAAAAAAGAAATTTATACGACATACATGATAGTTAATACTAAGTCCAAATTTGATTAGACTAATAAATGCCTGGAGTATTACACTGGCTCTGGGTGTGTCTGTGATATTTCCAGAAATAATATGATCATGAAGACTTCTGACCTAATAATTAATGGATTAGTAAGACCTGCCTAACAAAGTAGAACACTGTGTTCTATATACACGGTTATAGTTTCTTCAGTTCCTCATCATTTGTCAGGATGCAAATATCAAGGAAATGTAGAAATGGGAAATAGTAGCATGAAACCCTAAACAGACACAGGAGAAAACTATGTGTCCTCTCTCCTACATTTCATGACGAATCCTGGAAACAAATCAAACCATTGACTTCCAAGTAAGGGACTTTGGTTTACTAATTTTTCCTGTCATTGATAAATGAGGGAAAAGAATAATTATGCCTTGGCTCTTTTATCAAAGTTGTACTGTCAGTCACATCAGGCAAAATACGGTGACTATGAAGGGAGAAGTGTGCATCCTAGTACTGTGGTTGATGGGAACAGGAAACAAAGGAACAGTCATTAGGACAACTAGATCCTCCTAAGAGTACCAACAGTGTTCATCATTGTCTACATTTAATTTCCTTGGATACACCAAACATCAGACTCTTCAAATAAGTAGGCAATTTTAGAACTTCAGCTTGACTAAAAGTACCTGAAGCCCAAACTGTTATGATTATTTTTTGCTATTTGAGAAAATTATTAAAATTATTAGTACAGAGAATGATGAAGCAAAACTGGATATGCACACTACCTAGAACTAATTGCTCCAATAAATATCACTGTAATGTGCTTGTAATTCTTAAAACAAGACATGTAAAACATTATATTGTAAATAACATCTCAGGATTCTCTTAACTTACCCCTAATCAGTTACTATCTTACCTCTGCCCCACCTCTCCAAGGAAGACAGACATGATTTCATGTGGAACACCCTGCAGCATGCATTTATACTTTTAACACTAGCAGAGGTTTTTCAGAATTTTAGAATGCACATTATGACTAAATTATGCTAATAAGCCACCAAGAGGACTGTGTAAAGTTAACTGTATAACAGCAAATCATAGCAGACCTAAGTAAGATTAAGACCAACATTAAATTACCTCTTACCATGACATAACACACAAGGAGAAGTCCTATCACTTACCCCAGCTAGGATTACATACTTTCATTGAGGTACTTTTCAGCATGAGCTTCGCAGGTGCGCTCTAAGCTTTCTGTTATTAATTTCAATCACTCTGAGCAATGAGAGTTGCTCAGACTCCTGCATCTGGTGGAACTCCTGCAGAGGTGTCAACATTTAAAGAGATAAGCATCTGAGAAATTACATGGTATTTTTTAAAGACATGAACATTTGACAACCACCAACCATAAGTGATTTTCATTACCTAAATTTCACAAAAATGAATATAAAAAATGAATATAGTTATATAAATAGATTATTTTCATTGCTAGCAAAACCTTGGCCCCTCCTTCCACTATGACTAACAGTTGAAAAGTTAGGAATGATTCCCATAGCTAACTTAAATGGAGGCCTAAGGGCCACAACACGGAAAGCAGCCATTGTGCCAATGATACACGCCTACAAAGTCACTAATCTATCACGGCCCAAAAAAACATTCTCTTGACATGGAATTGATGGGGAAGGGAGAAAAAAGTTGGCAAGAAAAGTGCACATATATCAAAAGCACGGGTAGTTAGTAGAGATGCTAATGTGAACAAAAGAAACCTCATGGGTCCCAACTGAGACAAAAAGCTACAGGCATCTCAGGGATGCTGAGGCTGGGGATGTAGTCTTCCTCTAGGGAGAAGTGCCCTAATGGGTTATCCAATACCAAGTGGTCAGCCCTGAAATCATATACATGCAAACAACATTGGACTCAGCAGGTTGTTGGGTGTGTGTGTGTGTGTGTGTGTGTGTGTGAGTGTGTGTGAGTGTGAGTTTGTGTGTGTGTGTGAGTTTGTGTGTGAGTGTGTGTGTATATGTGAGTGTGTGTGTGAGTATGTATGTATGTGTGTGTGAGTGTGTGTGTGTGAGTGTGTGTGTGTGAGTGTATGTGTGTGTGTGAGTGTGTGAGTGTGTGTGTAAGTTGTGTGAGTGTGTGTGTGAGTTGTGTGTGTGAGTGTGTGTGTGAATGTATGTGTGTGTGTGAGTGTGTGTGTGAGAGTATGTGTGTGAGTGTGTGTATGAGTGTATGTGTGTGTGAGTGTGTGTGTGTATGTGTGTGAGTGTGTGTATGTGTGTGAGTGTGTGTGTGTGTGTGTGTAGAGAGCAAATGGGAGTAAGGTGAGCAGGACATGGAGGGAGCTGGAAGAAGGAAAGGGGAAAAGGGTCTGGGGAATGGAGAGAAATGATGTAATCTTATTTTAATAACACTTTTCTAAAGCTAGGGTAGATGTACGGAGGCTACAAAAACAGTTTTGAGTCCCACTCCCCAAAAAGCACACAGCAGTGGCAACTGCATGCTCTTTATTCACTATCAGTGTGCTATACCCTAATATCACTAGCACTAAAGAAAACTGGACTCCAGAACCTTTCTCCCCAGTGAAACTCACTAATATGTAATAGTCAGAGTCATTTTATGTTGACAAACACACTGAGTGGTAACAAAGGAAAAAAAATAAGCACACCTAAGAAAAACCTGCAAAATAGTTTAAGAAGTGTAAAGTAAGCAATGGGGATGTCTTCCTGACCTACTGTTTCCACCACATAATGTCTGTGGAGAGCTGGGTTTCAGGAGAAAGGGCACACTGGAACTCTTCTAATGGAAATGTGCAAATTGATACAACACATCTGGCTATTAGCACACAACTACCTGCCAAGAACTGTTTGTACCTTTGACCTAGTAATTATACATTCAAAAATGATCCCTAAACAAAACTACTGAAAATTCGTATGTAAAGATATTTGCTGTGGAATTTTATTAGAAAGAACATAAAAACTGTGAATTCAGAATGAGAAAGAATGGCTAAAACACAGACCGTCCAGTGGGACAGTCATTACTATACAATGGAACCCTACAAGAGGATACTACATAGCCACTAAAAACCCTGTCCCAAACAACAGTTAGTGCCAGAGCAAGGCAAAAATATGGCTTCCAGTTTTGTAATAAAAGTTATGTTTTCTGGGTATGTGCATAAATTAAATTACCAGTATATATTTGAGAGGCACAGGAAATGGAAGGAGTTATAGGGAAGAAAATTACTCCCCCAAGGTATATCTACACTCCAAAGTATATCGCCAATTTGTATTCTTTTAAGCTTTTATTCTCTTCTCCTTTATGAATTTTCAATAATGGATTTCTATCAATATATAATCAGAAGGAAATATAAATATGCACTTACGAAAGAAACAAAGATCACCTTCAGGCACAGCAGAGTGACAAGCTGACAACCTGCAAACGAATTCAACATCCTTCCTTCCAAGAGCTCTCTTTTCCATGGTGGACCTGTTTCCTTTTCCTGCCTGACAACTCCCTGACCCCACTTCCTAGTTGCTGACACCTACCTCAGCCAGACCACTTCACTAATTCTCACCCAGTGACAGGCTGAAGAAACAAGTTCACAGGAGCTGTCTCTGTATTTCACTTCAGCCACAGAACCATTTACCATGAATTATAAACCAAAACAAAATGTCTTGTGCTGTATATTCTCTTTGTAGTTATACTGAAGGGCAGTTATCTTCAAAGCTGGCTTACTAAAAGACACAACCCAGATGCCAGAATGGACACACATCAAAGTGCTATTTGAGCACGTACAGACATTGAGTATTCCTTGTTGTGATGAAATGCTGCTTTGGAGAACAATGAAGAATGGTTCTGGAGTGACAAATAGTCACCATTGAAATCTGAGGCTTAAAGAAGCATTAAGAGCTAGAGGTCCCTCAACTGAAGAATGGATAACGAAAATGAGGTACATTTATACAAGGGAGTAGAGTATTACTCAGCTGTTTAAAACAACAACAACAACATGAAATTGGCAGTCAAAAGAATGGAACAAGAAAAAAAAATCATCCTGAGTGAGGTAACCCAGATGCAGAAAGACAAACATGATGTGTACTCACTTATAAGTAGATATTAGCTGTAAAGTAAAGGCTAATCGTGCTACAATACACAGACCCAGAGAGGCTAAGTAACTAGGAGGGCTCAACCAGGGACACAGGGATCTCATGCGGAAGGGAATATAGAATAGATTTTGTGGGTAGGCTGGAGTCGAGTGGGGATGGGAACAGGAGGGATCAAGGTAGGGGGTAGAGGAAGGATGGAGCTGGAGAGAGTAAGGGGAGAGACAACTGGAATTGGTGGACACTTGGAGAATGATGTGGAAACCCATGCACTGGGAACTCCCTGGAATCTGCAAGTGACCCTAGTGAGGACTCCTAGTAATGAGGAATAGGGAGCCTGAACCCGCCATCTTCTGTAACCAGGCAAGGCTTCCAGCGGTGGGAATGGGACACCAACCCAGCCGCAAAACCACCCACCTTGTCCTACAAGATGCCCTACAAGATGTCCTACAAGATGTCCTACAAGATGTCCTACAAGATGTCCTACAAGATGTCCTACAAGATGTCCTACAAGATGTCTTACAAGATGTCCTACAAGATGTGCTGGGGTAATGGTGGCACAGAATTTGTGAGAGTCACCAACTAATAACTGGTCTAACTTGTGACCCATTCCATGAGAAGGAACCCATGCCCAACATTGCCAATAGCCTAGAGACTCAAACACAACTGCCAAAAAATAAAACATAAATAAAAGTTAATGAAATAATTCCTAATGATATTCTGCTACTCATAGATTGGTGCCTAGCCAAACTGTCGTCAGCCAGGATCATCCAGCAACTGATGGGAACAGATACGGAGACCCACAGCCCACAGCCAAATCTTGGGAAACCCAAGAGAAGAGAGGGAGGAAGGATTAGAAAAGCCAGAGATGGAGGACACTCTTAGAAACCAGGCCACAGGGTCACTAAACAGGACTCATAGGAGCTCAGAGACTGAAGCAACAATCATGGAGCCTACATGGGTCTGCACTAGATCCTCTGCATATATTTTATAGTTGTGTAGCTTGGTGTTCTTGTAGAACTCCTAACAATGGGAGTGGGGCTGTCTCTGACTCTTTTGCCAGCTCTTGGGGCCCTTTTCCTCCTGCTCAGTTGCCTTGTCTAGCCTTGATACCAGGATCTGTGCTTCGTCTTACTTGTTATGCCGTGTTCCCATGTTTGGTGGATATCCCTGGGAAGCCTGTTCTTTTCTGAAGTGAAGCAGAGGAAGAGTGGATCTGGGAAGAGGGGAGGTGGGAAGGGAAACAGGAGGAGTGGAGGGAGGGGAAGGTGTGGTGGGGATGTACTGTATGAGAGAAGAATAAGTAAAACATTAAAAGTAAAAATAAAAATGAAAGAAACAAGCAAACAAACAAACATTAAGGCAAGTAGAAAGCCATCTATGTTAACCCAGGGAAAGTTTTCATCATTGTTTTAAAAATACAAAGAAAGAGCAGTTCAACTGGATGAAAAATCCATTCTCATCATCATAAATGTCACCAAGATACAGAGTAGCAGAAAACCATGAACCATCAAATCTGAACAACGTAAGGAAAAGGAGGGTGAGAAAAGCTTTTACTTCAGCTGCAGAAAAAACACAAGTTCTTCTGCACCTCACCAACACCTCCCTGTGCAACAAAACTCACTGATAAGAAAATACATTTGCTTTTCAGATCAGAACATGTCCAAGGCTCAAGAGAAGGACTAAGACCGGTGACCTTGAGTAAAGGTCTATAAAGTCATAGTGAAAGCTGTGTTTGAATAGTAGATGGCACAGTCCTGAGAAAAGTTTACTTAGCTGCTCCTAATGCATCGATACTTAAATACATAAATATTGTTGCTTTTGCCTTAATGAACCTTATAAAGAAGACATACAACCACCAGAGCAAGCAATGAACCCTCATCCATTCATCCCATCTAAACAAATGGCCATATGCAGCCCTGGATGCTGAGACTAGCAAGAGAAAACTGCTTTCAAGCCCTGTAATAAGAGGACTGGAGTGAGCCTTTAGAAACTCAAGTCCACCCCTTTTGTTATTTGACCTAAGGAGCCATCAGATTGTCTTCATTGTAATGAGGCACATTTGTATGTATGAGAGCCATGATTTATTGATTCTCAAATCTCTTCTCCTCAGAGTCGGTTTAAAACAATTAGGATTTGCAAGCTGTTCCATAAAAGATAAGCACCCAGCATCAAGGGTGATATTTCACAAAGACTGACTAGTGCATGTTAAGTGGGTG